TTCCAGATCTCCCACATGGGTGCAGGGTCCCAAAGCTTTGGGCCGTCCTCAATTGCTTTCCCAGGCCACAAGTAGGGAGGTGGATGGGAAGTGGAGCTGCTGGGATTAGAACTAGCGCCCATATGGGATCCCAGCATGTTCAAGGCGAGGACTTCAGCTGCTAGGCCACGGCGTTGGGCCCTACAATAGCTTCTTAAACTTTACTGGATAGAGTCATCCGAGGCACGCATCAGGCAGATTTGGACATATTCCCTTTGATCTCAATTTGCGTTTGATCCCAGGCTGGGGAAACTATAACAGGCACCCTCATGATTCTGAGAAATGTATCCCTTCAGTGACTCCCCAAACTCTAGCTTGAAGTTCAGAAGCCTTCCTGTGGTCCTTGGCACACCCAGTGCCCAGTCCTTTGCCTTCTTCATCTTCATCACCTGTGGCTTCAATGCACCTGCTGTGATGATTCCTGTCCTTATTCTTTTTCACATCCAGTTGTCTTTCCTCCTGGAGTGTCCTTGCGTGGCTCAGGTTACCCCTTCAGACTCTGTTTACACCTTCGACTTACAACATGATTCATATAGCACATTGCAATCATTTGTCTACGTATCATTCATTGTTCATTGGTTTTGAGCTCCATGATTAGAGATATCATTTCTTATTCACCTTTGTATTTTCAGTGCTTTGCACAAGCACAGGATTTAATTGAAGTAAGTGAAGTCATATTATAAGTGTGAGATTCAGAAAGTCTTGATATTTTTCAACTTTATATTTGTGTAGTATATTATCACATTTCTTATGCACCTTAGCTTGCTTACCTGTAGAATAGAAATACCTCATTTCCTACCTTCCTTGTAGTATCATTCATTCAATTCAGAGCAGAAGTTTATACAAAAGAGATTGGTAAGATCAATGCTTAAAGAATTCCATACAAATAAGATGTGGAAGAACTGCCTTTGGGATATTTCTTGAAGGATAGAGAGAAGTAGGTATGATTGGACTAACATTAGGGAGATTGAAGCGGTTACAGGTGAAATTGGAGAGTTGGGCAGCAGTATGTGCTGAATAATGTTTTGTACTTTGCAAATAAATTTGGGTTTCCTTGTTGTGTGATGAAATGCTGCCTAAGCTAGAAAGAAACATGATCAGATGGGAGGAGAATTGAGATAGAAGAGGGGTCAGCTAAGGGGATTTATAATATGATGACAAAAGAGTTGATTAGTAATTTAAAATAATTTTACAATATTTTTGTAATACAATGGACATTTGATGAGATGGCTTGACGTGCTGTTTGGGGTGCCATACCTCACATTTGTGGTGCCAGTGTTTTTAAGTCCTGTTCTGTTCATGATTCCTGCTTCCTGCTAATTGGCACCCTGGGAGGCAGTAGCGAATGGCTCAAGTACATCTCTTTGGGGACCTGGACTGAGTCCTGGGCTTCTGGCTTTAGCCTGGCCCCATTCCAGCAGTTGTAGGCATTTGGAAAGAAGATTTCTGTTTCTCTGCCTTACAAATAAATAAGGATAAATAAATAATTATATTTTTAAATCTAATTTATATGAAAGGCATGGAGAGAGAGAGAGATCACATTATCTTCCATCTGCTGGTTCACTCGCCAGTGAGCACAGCACTTCTGGTGAGCGAGCTTGAATCCAGGACCTCTGAACTCTGTCCAGGTTGCTCCTGTAGTGAGTGGGTTTCAATGCACAAGCCATCCTCTGCTTTCCCAGGTGTTTGAGCAGGGCTCCAGGGATCCCAGCCTCCGATTGGCACTCTCAGGAGTTGTCAGTGTCACGGGTGATGACTTAACTTGCTACAGCACAAAGCTGGTTCCTTAAAAAGTTTCATAAAATTCTTTGTTCATTTTTCTAGGTACTCTGATAGACTTAAGGTTGTTTAAGTAAGATATAATTACTCCCAGATTTTGAAATGGCCCCATAGTATAAAATGTAGATACTTGAAACAACTGATTACACAAATATGACAAAGGCATAAAAATATGTTACACACAGTAGGTGTAAAATGGAAACTGCATTCCTTTTAGACGAAACTTCTTAGGAAAAATTCACATCTTTTTCATCGCTACTTACTGAGATTCAGTTGACAAATATTGTGTATATTCATGTTGTGTAATGTAATTTGATAGGCATATACTGTGCAACGTGGTACAGTATTTGATATCAGCCTGTAGTAGGCCATGGCATTGTGCCAAAGAAGTTTACATTTATTCTCCCTAGCTTCATTTTCTTATGAAATAGCGTTTGGTTATATATAAGAAAGAAACACAAAATGTTCTATCACACAGTAACCAAATGCTATTAACATGTTTATCTTTTCTTTCAAGTTCTCCTTGCTGTGCTCATATGTGTATTTAAACGTTAAGCAAATGAAATTTGAAATGGACGGTACATGTGGATGTGTGTGCCCAAGCATTATTTTTTTTCTCAAAATTTGAAATAACCCTTTGTCCTGGAGGTAATTTGTACCGAAAAGCCATGCTTTGTGATGGTCTCAGTGTCCCATGGCCATGCTCACCTTCCTGTTTCTTGTTCCTAGATGACCGTGTTTGACTCCCACCTGTTTCTTAGACGGTCAACTGTTGGCTGCCTTTGGTGGGTCCTGTTGTCTGTGTTTCTGTAGAGGACAGGATTCTGGAAATAGCTGTACTACATCAAAGCACGCTGATGTGCAGGTTTCAGGGTTGTCTTGCCAGGCCAGTCCTCTGCATGGCTGGTTTTTAAGTCCACGCCTGTGTAAGTGGTTTTATTTTCACTCAGCTATTGTTAGCGTTTAGTATTTGCCAGCTTTGTAACGGAGTCTTGTGCTCGTTTTTGGCTGCTGGTGGAGCAGATTTTCCTCCTATTTGTTGACTGCTGGTTCCTTGTACTTTGAATTGCCCTTGACATTTTTTTTTAAGATTTATTTATTTTATTGAAAAGGCAGGTGTATAAAGAGGAGAGACAGAGAGGAAGATCTTCTGTCCGATGGTTCATTCCCCAAGCAGCTGCAATGGCTGGAGCTGAGCCAATCTGAAGCCAGGAGCCTCTTCCAGGTCTCCCACGCGGATGCAGGGTCCCAAGGCTTTGGGCCACCCTAGACTGCTTTCCTAGGCCACAAGCAGGGAGGTGGATGGGAAGTAGGGCTGACGAGATTAGAACCGGCGCCCATATGGGATCCCAGCGCGTTAAAGGCGAGGATTTTAACTACTATGCTATCGTGTCGGGCCAGCCCTTGACCTTTTTAAATTTTTTCTTCCCTTTCTTTTTATTTGGGCATTAGTATCTGTCTTACCTGTTTTAAGAAATATTCATATAGAGTACAGTTCTTTGTCAGTATTAGTTATGGCTCATTTTATTTCTACTCTACTTCTTACTTGTTGTTTAACAGGTTTTTTTTTTTTTTTATAGTGATCTTTACCTTGAAGGATACTTAAAATGTCCATTTTCATCTGAAGATCAAATGTTCATTTATAGTTTTGTTTTTCAGGAATTTTACATTTTCCATTTCTTTTGACAGTTCATTATGATGGAAGTTTTTTTTTCTTTTTTTTTTTTGCTTCAACTGGTTTTTTTTTTTTTTTGGAAGTTTATTTTTAAAGATTTATTTACTTTTATTGGATAGGCAGATTTACAGAGAGAGGGAGAATCAGAGAGAAAGATCTTCCTTCTGCTGCTTCACTCCCTAAGTAGTCACAAAATTGCCAGAATGGAGCCTGTCTGAAGCCATATTCTTCTGGGTCTCCACGTGGGTGCAGGGTTCCAAGGGTTTGGGCTAACCTCAACTGTTTTCCCAGGCCACGGGCAGGGAGCTGGATGGAAAGTGGAGCTTCCAGGATACAAACCCATGCCCATATGGGATCCCAGGCATACAACGAGCTGGTTTAGCTGTTAGGCTATCGCATGGGGCCCAATGAAAAATTTTTGACGGAATGTAATGATTTGATTTGTGCTTCCTATGTCCCTGGCTTTCAGAAATAGCCTTGGACTGAGGCACAGCTGGGGGCAGTGAAATGTGCCTTTTGTAGCAAGGATGGGGATCCCACATTTCTGCGATCAGAAGAAAGAGGAATGATTGCCAGGGATCCCCTGGTTCATGCGAGTGAGACCCAGGAGGCACAGCACACCTCACAGGAGGGTGGAGGCGCTAACCGCACACACTCGGTTCCACAGGACACGCGGTTACAGGCAGGTAGAGACGGTGTTAAAGCCGGTGGGAGGCTGGCCCTGCTGATGACGGCAGGAAGAGACCTGCACAGAGGGGACATTTCTGGGATGGAAGATAATGAGCGAGGGCCGCCGACCACGTCGGAGTCTGGGCCAGAGCAGCAGGATGTTCCTTAATCTGCCAGAGAGAGGGGCTTCTTTATTCTTTGACTTATGTACTCTCTCAGCAAAAACAGCACTGGCAGACGCTGCACAGAGGGGCTGCGGTTCCCACTGGAGGAGTCTGTGACAATCAGTAAATCTAGCTAACAGGGTGGGAGTGGGGGTAAGAGGAGAAGGGGGCATGGCCAGAAGAGAACACTTTTAGGATCTAGCAGACTTGAGCAAGTTCTGCATTGAAGGACGGGGATCTAGTGACAGGTAAATGAAGGCAAAGCAGAGAAAGGAGGCTCGGATGGGGCAGTAACTTACAAGGAGCTGTGACTGCCATAGACCTGCTATTCTTCCAGGTGGAACAGTAGCTCTTCCCCATAGACAGAGTTTGCTTGGAAATCATTGAATTAAATTTTAATCTGTTCTCTGAGTAAAACGACTCTTGGCTTCAAAACTACACTTTTGTTTCCTGACAATTTGACACTGGTTTTGGGGGAGAGTTCTCGTGATTGTGTAAGCGCCTACCTTTTTCATGCTGTTGACTAGCAAAGTTACTTTGCTACTTTTAATGCTACATGTTCCTCAAAAGGCAGCTGTACAAGCATTTTGACTCTTGTATTTATTGTTCATGAATAAATATAGGAAATGAAACACCTTTGGTGATAACCATCTTCTTAAAAATGTTTATTGCAGGGGAATTTACCTAAATATTCTCATAACTCCCTGATGGTTCAAGCAATAAAGACAAACCTGACAGACCCAGACATCCACGTGCTTTTCTTTGATGTGGAAGCGTTGATTATTCAACTGCTGACTGAAGAAGCCTCTAGGCCGAATACTGCGCTTATTTCCCCTGAGAATTTGCAAAAAGCATCTGGCAGTTCAGACAAAGGGGGCTCTTTCCTAACTGGAAAACGAGCAGCAGTTCTCTTCCAACAAGTGAAAGAGACTATCAAAGAGAACATAAAGGAGCACCTCCTGGACGATGAAGAGGAGGATGAGGAGGTAATGAGGCAGAGAAGAGAAGAAAGTGATCCCGAGTACCGGGCCAGCAAATCCAAGCCATTGACCCTCTTAGAATATAATTTAACTATGGACACTGCCAAGCTGTTCATGTCCTGCCTTCACGCCTGGGGTTTGAATGAAGTTCTGGATGAAGTCTGCCTCGATCGCCTTGGAATGCTGAAACCCCACTGCACAGTATCCTTTGGCCTCTTATCAAGAGGAGGCCACATGTCATTGATGCTGCCTGGTTATAATCAGTCAGCTTGTAAGCCACCCCACGGGAAAGCAGAAGCAGGAAGCAAGCTGCTGCCAACAGAGGGCATAGGAAAGGGCACTTACGGAGTGTCAAGAGCCGTCACCACACAGCACCTGCTGTCCATCATATCGTTGGCCAATACTTTAATGAGCATGACCAATGCAACCTTCATTGGTGATCACATGAAGAAGGGTCCTACCAGGTGTGACCAAGATAATTTTATCCTTAAGCTTTAAGAAGGCGAACCTGGTTTGTGTGTGTGTGTGTCCTTGTTTATTTATTGTCTGTTCTTTGCATTTCAGCATTTAAGTACCATTTTAGAGTTTCCAGTTTAAATTATAGAACACAGATGGGTCTCCAGTTGCCTGGGTTGAAAAGTTTTGTATGCATGCAGACTACTTAGTAGCTATTGAAAAAGAGAAAGAAACAAAGCATTGAGGGATGAGTTGGGCCTGTAGGCCAGCTCTTGGGTATAATTAAAATGTATGTTTTTGGTTGAAATGCCTCTTCTCACTGTAAATTTTATATGATAAATCATACATCTTCAGTGATTGAGTTCAGAGTTTTCTGAAATACACAAGATGTTTTAGTAGGAAAAGAGGAAAGAACTCTGTTTAAATCTAAGGGTACTATTTTGATATTTTTAGAATATATAAACTGAATTGCTGTGTCACATTACCAAACTTAAGAAGATAGCTTTTAATTGTACTCTGAGTGTTTATGACAAGAGCAACTTTTGTGTGTTTGTATAACAAGTACTTCTTTAGCCCTTGCTTATGCTGGGCTCTGTGGTAGGTTAACGCATTGGTGTTCTTAGCTCCGGAAGCTAGGTACTTTTTTTGTTTGTTTGTCTCAGATAAGAAAAGAGAGACACAGAGGGGGGAAGTAAGTTGCCCAAAGCCATACACCTAGTCAATGGAAGAACTGGGATTCATGGTATACCTCTGGGTACAAGACTGTTTAATGCCATGATAGATTTTGAGATTTTAAGACTGAATCGTTTTAAACTCATGTATTGTTCCATGAATTTGGACCAGTGGTACTGGGTATTTGAAAATATCAGCATGCTAACATTGAAGAATAAAGGACTAAGTAAAATATTAATCCGTTAGTGGTGGTGTATTGAAATATTCATAAATATTTCTTAAATGAATATAAACAAATTATAGAAGTAAACTTTTTATATATTCTGTGCTTATCCTTTGTTTTAATATATTAATGTTTGAAATAGAAAAAGATATATGTAGGTAGACAGCCAAAGAAAATACTGTTTTTGGAAGAGTAACTTGAAAATGTTTTATAGGTGTTTCATGATTCATTTGAAACCAGAAAACTTAATATTTTCAACAGTTCTGGAAATAGGAAAATGTAAAAATACATACATGTATTTTTTATCTTTTTTTTTTTAAGGCCGCCTAGACCAAGCACCCCTGACCTTTCTAAGGCACGGGGTTCCCCCCCAACTTCCAGTAACATTGTGCAAGGACAGATTAAACAAGGTAAAATTAAATCTTATTAAGTAATTAACATGACATTTCATCTCTAGAAACTGAGGAGGCTTTAGCTAATGTATAATCATAACATTTTGTTTGTCTCAGATTGTTAAAATAGAGAAAAGTTGTTATATTCCAGATGTAAATATGGATAATTAAGATGTCAGTTAAAAATAAATCGGATTTATTTAGAAATTGATAAATGAGCATATTTCATGTAATTTTATTTTACTGTCCTTGGCCTAATTTTTATGCATTAGGAGCACCTTAACTTGACAACACTGGTGTTTTAATTGTGTGTATCTTAGGTTTCAAAGTTATATCTGTTTTAAAGGACTGTTTCAATTCTTGTTGAAGCTAATCTACCATTTCCATGTAGCTTTTGCATCGTGCTTAACCAGTGCTAACCCTTGTTAGACTTTTCTTCTCTTCTTTATTTAAATCATTAGATACTTTAGCTTCGATTTATAGCTTTGTTTTTCACTGAGAGAAGGGAAAAGCATTGAAGTCTTCTTCCTTCATTATTTACCACTATCTATTTCTGAGTATAATTTTTAATAAATAATGTGAATTATTTCTGAATCTATCTCCTGTATTCTACTCAGTACAAGTGAGCTAGCTACAAGAGTTGGGGAGTCACTTTTGCCTGGGCAACAGTCCTTAAGGCTCAGAGTTGATGAGAACTCTCAGAGTGGTAGAAGTGAGGAGGCAAGAAGAGGAACTGGTGATGGTTCTGCTGATGGATGGTGATGTCCTAGAGTTTTTCCTTTTTCCCTGGACGCTGTTGTTTTCTTTTGTTGTTAGGTTGAAACAATCAAAGAGTGGGGCTTTGAGGTTTCTTAGATACACTAGAGCCCATGCCCATGAATCAGGAGGTTTCCAGGAGGTGGTTGAAGGGGACCTTCCTCACATGCATGCGCTGACTAGTACTTGGCTGAGTACTGGACGGTGACCCATTGAAGCCACTGTCTGTGCAGCTTCCAGGTGTCTGTTCTGTTCTGAGATGCTCAGCTTTGTCCCCTCAACTTAGGGAAAATGCTGTACGCCTGCTTGGTTCCTTTTGCCTTAATCTTGGCCTAGGAATGCTCTGTAGACAGTAAGAGCAGGCATCCACGGGGGCACCGTGTTAATCTCCTGTGTCTTTCACTTCGCTGCTGGATCCCCAGTAGCTTGAAAACTTTGGTTTGGTGTATTTTGTCTTTTTGTTATTGGTTGTTTTAGACAGGATTATAATTCTATTACTTATTACTCCATCTTGGTCTGAAGAGAAAATTCTTTTCCTTTTATTTTAAAATGTCAAAAGCGTACTACTACCATGCGGAGATTCTTCTTATGATATGGAATTTTAGCCCACAGCGTTATCATAGGGTGCAGTGGAAACTCGCTCACGTCGGTCTGTGACCTGTTTGACTTTGGTTAGTGATGGCGTCCTGTGGACACAGTCAGAAGCTCTGGATTCCCGAACCTGCACCTTTTCCACAACAGCCTGTGTTTATTTTTCTACATTTTTTAAAAAATATCTTCCAGAATATACAGGGCAGATCCATGGGAGATGTGTTTCCCTTCATTTAGCTCATTTCAGACTTCACTTAAGGTTGACTCCTGTGGAGGTGTTATTTACCACCGTCACCTGTGTTGTCTTGCCTGGCAGCTGATGTTTCTTCCTGAACTACACGTGTTTTCCACCCTTCACCTGGTACTCCTGGTGGATAGAAGCATCTCAGTACAGTGTGTGACATAGTCAGGTTGGATTTGCTCAACTGGCCAAGTCTGAGAACTTTAAAGTTGAGATGCTTTAATATTGCTCCTCTCAGTAAAACATTTGTATTTTCAGGATAGTGAAGAGAAACTGAGAATGGAGTCTTTTTCTAAGGCATCTATTTAAGGCACAGGTTTAGGGATGTGTATCTGGAAAGCGCCTATGTTTGTCTCTTAAAGTAGTGGAGATCAGGGTGTGTCCTGAGAGAAAACTTTACATAGTAAAATACCTGAAGCTGCTACTATGAAACTCAAGTTCTATTTAAACAGTGAGCTGAGATTACGGTGGAATGATGTCTTCACCAAATATTTGTACATTTTCTGTCATTTGACAACTTTTTGCAAGGTTAGAGATTAGTCTGATGTTTATTTGTCGAATAGTTTATTTTTTTTAAACATTTATATCATTGTTATTTGAAAGGTAGAATTAGAGAGAGATCTTTCATCCACTGGTTCACACCCAAAAGGCCATTATGACCAGAACTGGGCCCATCCTAAGCCAGGGCCAGAAGCTTCTTTCAGGTCTCCCGAGTGGTGCAAGGGGCCCAAATACCTGAACCAGCCTCCGCTGGTGTCCTAGGTTGTGGCAGGGAGCAGGGCTGGAAGTGGAGCGGCTGGGCCATGAACCAGGACCCATACCAGATGCCGGCAGTGTGTATGCTGCAGAAGAAGACTTGGCCTGTCCTTTTGATTCTTAATCATGGAGAACTCAGTTACTAATTTTAGATATCAGTAATGAGGGAGACCTTTTACAGAAGAATAAATTTTCTTTAATTCATTTGCCTGGAATTTCAAGCCAAGATAAAATCGTCACTGCAGAAATAAAAGAGCCAAGGGAAAATTATCATTGCAGCTGAAGCTGTTGCAGGTCTGGTTCGCTGACACGATTCAGGGGAAATGCAGACGTCATTAAATAACATTGTGGCTTTCAAACATCAGACTTTGGTGGGTTACTTTGCTGTGTACATATTTTTCTCAGAATGCTTGATTTAACTTAGTTCATTCTGTATGTTAGGTCCTTGTCCTGCCGCCCCCTCGTGCTTTGTGTGGTCCTTCTGCCCGCCCTTCTTTGTGCTGTCTTCTCGCTGTGTTTTAAGGATATCCATTCTTTCTGACAATATTAGAACATTGCAATATTGATTCTGAATGGGGTATTTGGTTAGTGGTTCCATATCTGCTTGAAAGGGTCCAGATTATTAATGAATCCATCATTTAAATAATGGCTCTTACACATATTTTCTCTATCAGCACTATGATGAATTGTGTGAATGAAGTTACAATATAAACAAATGATTTTTGTAGCACATACCATGAACTTTCCTCTGTGTTTCATTTGTTCTTTGTAACAACTGACCATAACCACTGTGGTCATGTTTACCAACAACATTGCAAGGAACTGTTAGGGATTTCTTTACAATATGAAGAGTGTCCAGAAATAACACTGTAAGATTTCACAGAAACTCCAACTTTGAGTAAGTAGTTCATTCAAGGTTATCATAGTTGCTGAGTTAAATTTTTTTAGTCATATATCCAAATTCAACTTTTCTTTTATGATCTATTATACATGTTTTCCTCTGTCATTTCTTACAACTTTTCTACTTAATTTAACAGCTTTGTTAGTTGTGTTTCAGGAGTAAAAATATAATTGAACTTCCTAATAGCAACCCAAACCAAGAGAGGATAGAGGATGGACTCCTTAAAAATAGGAAACAAAGGTTATTCTTTTCAGTTCACATTTCTTCATATAAATTATCAAATAAAAACGCAAGATAATTTCATTGTCCGGCATTCATGGTCTATGTGTAAAGTGCATTGTGTTTGGCTCTACCAAGATTACTGATTTTTAATTTTTTTCATGTTAACTTTTTCTTCTCTTTCTTGTCTACCTCCCTCTTTCCTCTTGCTTCCCCCAAACATCCACCAGTGTACACTTTTCACCATTTAACAGTGTACTGAAAATGATTCATCTTTAATTTTATTCTTTGTAAAATCTTTTAAGTATTGCATTTGTTTTTCTGTACATTTTGGGATTTTGTTTTTTCATATGAAATTATATTGAAATGGCCATTGACATATTTGTTCTGAGTGTGTAACTAGTGAGATCGAAACCGATTGGTAGACAACATTTATCACCCAAGATACGTTAGCTTTGCGTTGTACATGTCTTTAATATCACTCTAGGAGCTGAGAAGAGTTGGAATTAGATATCAAATGAGGTCTGAAATGCACCTTTCAGAGCAGAAACTGTGGGTGTTGTTATACACATACATATGTATATGCTGTCTAGGGAATCCGTGGCAGATGTGCATATGTATGTTGTCACTGGAGTTCATTTCTTTATTTTATGTGAAAACAAGTAGTTGATGAGGCTCCCTTAGTTGCATAAAGGACACTGCCAGGTGAAATAATAGAATTTGTGGCAGTTCTGCAACCATTTTGAAGCTATGCTTGAATTCTTTTCTTATAAATTTTGCTATTCTTTAATAAAAGAAACAGATTAGTGAGTGCCATGGCAACTTTTTGCCTGTAAAAAAGCAGATGTTCAGTTATGTTTCATGTTGTGAATCTTGGATATTCAGTGTCAGTTGTAATGCCTTAGCTTCATCATCACTAACATTGGACTTTTTATTTTGGCAGCATTGTGCAGGTTTTTTTGTTTCTTTGTTTTTCCTAGTTTCCGTTGCTGAATATTCTGTGCATGAACTGTTATGAAAACTGTGGCAGAGTTTAATTTCTCATTTGTGGAAGAAGTTCTGAATTATGCGGTTCAGTTGAGGGTTAGAATGTGCGAAGTTTTTTTTTTCTTTTACTGGTGATGTAGAAATTTTGAATGTACACTAAGTTTGCTTGATGGCTGTGACAGTGTTCTTAATTTGGAATACTCAGAAACATTAGTAAATAACAAGGGTAAACGCCTTCTTTCTATATGAAGTATCACTTAAACAAGACTCTAAAATTTTAGTAGCTGCAATGGGTTATTTTCCTCTTATTAAAAATAGCTGTGGGCCTTGTAAGAGGCCTCAGTTGAGGCTGTTTTAAAAGGAGCAACCTGAAATTTTTAGCTAGTAGAATAACAGCATGCTGTAAAATTATTATTGTGTCCTGTACTAGTTAAAAGAAATAGTCACCTTTCAGTAATCCAGTCACTTGTAACCATTCTCGTAGAGTTATAGTAAGTTAAAAAGGCTGGCATGTTTTAAAGGGCATTTTAATTTGAGTTTTAGTGGAATTGCTTAATTTGTTGATTATGCACACAGGAGATTAGCATTCATGAACACAATAGCTCCAATAACATGTGTAGAAATTATAGACTGGATTTCCTATTCAATTAGTTAAGCAAAAAGATCGTGTTACATTCTTCCTCTGAAAAAGAGCTGTGTAGTGACCGGTATTTGTCTGGTGTAGCACTTCTGCTAGTGGCATCTCCTGTTTCCGCTTACATCCCTATGCCTGGACTCAGGGCTGTGCTTTCTCTGCATTTCCTGATTCTCTCTTCCTAGTGTCTGTAAGAATTAAAGGTAAAGTCGCATAAAATTATCATAGTCTTTTGAGGGCTGATAATTTTCCCATTTTGTTTGTTTAGAAAAGTGAAATGACGTGCAGGTCCCAGTTTTAGATGCCACCAAAGGCACTTTGTGAGCATTTTGGTGAATCAGTAGCGAAAATTTGAAAATCTCTTTGCCACTCCCTCTGTATGGGGAGTGGATATCTTATAGGTCATAATGGATTTTGTAAATTAAAATGATAGGAAATGGAAAATACATTATTTAGTGTTATTATATAGAAATGTTGGAGTTCTTAGATCTTATAGAATGTATGTCTAAATACAGCTCTATTTAATAATTGTAATATTATAGCATCATTGTAATCTCATAAGAAATAAAAAAAGTCAAAGCAGTAATGACTTATTTTCCAAATACAGGTTTCATAAGTGTAAGATGGGCTACTTAGGGTTTATGCAGTTATATGTCATTTTTGGGGGAGGGGTTACTGTTCATAGTATATTTTTAGTTCTCCTGCTTACCTCACACGTGCCTGATTGACATTATGATGCATTCGTGTGGAAATTATGAAAAAGTTGTTTTCATGCAGCTGTCCTGTGGTTACAAAAGAACTTCACTGCATGAAAAGCAAACATATCATTCAGCAGACAATGGCTAATCTGTTCAGGAGCCCAAACCTATTGCTGTTCAATGACAGAAGAAAGGAGAGGGATTAATTTGAAGATGCTTGTGCATGACATATGGTAATTTCTCCATAGGAAGGAAGTGTCAAATGGTGACCTCTAAATCTTAGCCTTGACCTCTAGTTGTAGAATGTGTGTGCCATACGGTCCTTCTGTTTTTTCATATGATAATTTAAGCTGAAACATTTTCCTGGCAACATAACTTTTTTGGGCGGAGAGGGGAGACGGAGGCTGGCATGTGCACTGAATAAGAATTATAAAAATTTGCAATAATCAAATTTTGTATATGTGGCATTTATACTATAAAACATTTGTAACAACAAATGACATTATGTTATAAAAGTTGGTGTATTTTAAATTGTTTTTGTACAGTGAGTCTGGAAGATTAAAAAAACAGAACAAGTAGCAGCTTGAGGTGTTTAAAATAGTTTACATTTAGTGGTAGTCAATATATTATTAGGATAAAACATAATTAGCAATATGAAGACCGGAGTAAACTTTTTGGTTTTGTTCATATATAATGTGTTACTGGTTTTTAATTGTTGGAGAGTTATGTCTTACATAGCCTGTATCATTTGTTTATAATGCTAGATAGACTTTAAGATGAATTGTGATTATTTCGTAAAATACCTCATTTCCTTGCCAGCATCTTTGGTGATAGTAGTCGTCTGATTGAAGCATCATTTTTTTTTCTGTTTTACTTTCACTATATTTTGCCAATTCTGTTATTTCATTCTTCACTAATACTGAGCTTTTTTTCAGAAACTGCTGTACCTCAATTCTCTCCTCTTTCTTTCTTCTGTCTTCCCCTGCAAAGCTGCTGCACCTGTCGTTTCCGCTCGGTCTGATGCTGACCATGCCGGCTCTGACCCTGCTTCCACTGCTGCTTTACATACCTGTTTCTTAGTAAATGAAGGTATTCTCTCTCAACTTTCTAACAACTTCTTTTGATCTATGCTTTATTTTAATTGACGTGTTCTTTTGTCTGACTTACACATTCATCTCCTTTGTTATATATTGGATGCTAATGGTCCCATTTTGTGACTTTGCTAAAATCAGTGACAGCGATTCCTGTAAAATGCTGGTAAAGAAGCAGGTCGATATTAGAAGGTGAATTGGTTTTCCTAAGGATGTTGTCATGTGGTCTCTACTGTTAGTACTAATGAATTTATTTTGTGTGTATCATTGCTCTGTGACAGGTACACTTTGCTGTCTTTACCCACTTATTTGCCCTGGCTAGAGGGGCTTTATGAGGGAGTCTCAATTTACATTTTCTTTTGAAGTGCATTCAGTTTGGTGATTGGCAACGATGATTATAGACTGGCAGGAATTCACATATTTATCCTTCATACGATTTGTGTTTTAGATGAAGGCAAAGGTTCATCATTTCAGTGTTTGAGATCTAGTTAGGCTACCATTTTATTCTTGTAGTATTTCACAAGCAGAAAGTATTTTTGGAACTTTGAAAATGTCAGTGGGGTCTACAAAACCTTGTTCCCTAAGATTATTTTTACTTCCTGGAAGCTTAAAAGAACCTCTGAGCTCTGAGTTACAGCCACTGTCTTCTCTGTGGTCTCGATCTTTGTCTAATACATAAAGGAGAACATTTACCAAAACTGTAGAGTGTAACAGAGGATGGTTGTGCCTCTTCACTAACGTTGAGTGATGTTGTATGGCGTATGTTGTAGGAACCCCTCCCTCCTTTGGTGAGAAATCCTAGGAACCTAGAAGTGTAATTCCATTGTTTATTTTATTTATCCTAAGACTCTACTAAAACCGAGACTGGATTTTAGCAAAAAAAAAACTTAGGTATATATTTGTTAAGATGTTGTGACTGTAGTCATTTGGTGATTTGAAAATAAGCTGTCAGATTTTAGGCCTTGGTGAGAATCATCTTCATAACAGTTCAGAAATATACTTTGTATTTCTGTGACACTTTAAAAGACTTCTCAGAATTACTGGGCACTAATGTATACACACGGGCGTACCTACATCTCTGTGCTGTAAATGAATTACAGTTTTAACTGTGTGTGCCTATCATGTTAATGATTGTAAACACATACTGTCAGTTGGTGACAATTTTCTCACTGAGAGGATACATCTTTAAATAGCTGGCTCATTTAACTGTCTCTCTCTTTAAGTGCATTCACTCCCTTTTAACAATCTCAGTGGTCATTGAGTTTTATGTTAGGGTTTTGTTTTTATTTTAGAGTCTTTCAGGACACTGATTTTCTATGATCAGAGAGAATTCTGTGTTCACAGATAATTCACCTTGTAGTATGGCAGGAGACCCTTTTTTCTTTTTGTATCCATTCTTAATTATTGGTTTTTAAATGTTATCCCCAGGAGGCAGTGATAATTATGTGAGTTGTGGCCTCATACATAATTTGGGAAGAATGAGGCATTTATTTTAAATGGGTTTTTTCAGACGCCTTTAAAATAGAGTTGAAATGATTATCTGAAAATGTGTCCTAAATTTTTAAAAATATTGCAGTGGTGTACAAGTGCTTTTCATATAATCAAGTTCCATTTTGTAGATAAGGATTTTGAGACAAGCAACTCATTCTCATATATTATAGTGAGTGGGGTTTAAGATTTGATACATTTTGAAATGTCAGGTTTTTACTTTGTGGAATATCTGAATGCAGTTTCTTCTAAAAATTGGCATTATGTTATTTATTTCAGTTATGATTGTGATTAAACATCTGATTCATTTTGTAAGAAAAGGGATCAATAACTCCCTTAATCAAAGACCCTCTGACAGAGAAGGGGTGACATCTCTTTTGGCCAGCACAATGGCACACCCAGATGGCCTGTCCTCAGTGACACGCAGCTAGCTTTGGAGAGCTGCATGAATGACTGACAGTATGTTCAGTCACCAGGACATGTTTATTTCCAGATTTTCTCATCCCTTCATGCATGCTTAAACCAGGAGGTACTGTTTGGAAATGTGGTTTCCTTTTTAATTCAAATATAATCTGTCTGACAAGGAGTTTTGTTTAAGATGATGAGAATTTCTTACAGGTACCAAATACATACTTTAGGAAGAAACACCTTTTGTATAATTCTTTTTACAAAATATGATAGTATGGTGAAATCATTTAAAACATATATAACACTATAATCATTTATAACAACGGTCAGCCTGCCTCTTGTTGTTTTTTATGTACTTTGGTGAAGAAGAACTTTTGACTTAGGGAATGCTAAAATGTTTAAAATATTTGTGGCATGTTGCGTTTGAACAGGATGGAGTCAGTTGGCTGCTATGCATTGTGTCATGCTGCCTGACCTGCTGGGACTAGATAAATTCCGGCCTCCACTTCTAGAAATGCTGGCTCGAAGATGGCAAGATCGATGCTTGGAGGTAAAGTAGAGGTGATAGGGATGGAAAAACAGCAATGTTGAAAAAGCATTGGTCATAAACGAATTTAAAGCAAAAAGGGTTAATGTTTATTTATTATGTAATAGAAAATGCAAAACAGAAATAGAAAATGAGGAATTGTGATACCCCTGTTTTTCTCTTAATTTACTTTTTTTGTATACATTCTGAAACTGTTTCTTTAATATCAATTTCTATACCAATCATGCACACACATACACATGCACACATACGTCTACCTCACCCAAAATCACACGCCCAGAATAATCGAATCAATCAGATTCCAAGCCAGTGGCCATCTTGCAGTGGATGCTACTGTGTTATGGTAAAAGGCTTTGGAATTAGAAGAGAGCTGGGTTTAAATATCAGTCCCACCAATTATTAACTTTGTGACCCTGGGCAATTTACTTAACCTATTGCATTCTCATTTGTAAAGGAAGGGTAATGATATAGTCCTCCTGGGATTGCTGTCAGGATCAAATAAGATAATGCAAGTAAAACAGTAAGGCTAGAGCTGCCTGACACATGGTAGAAACCCCAGTAAATGGTTGCTAGGATTTTGTGTTAATGAACTTTGCTGCCTGAGTTATTATTTTAGAATTTAGTATCACTAGCAACTTGGGAATGTTACGTATTTTCCATGTTCTGTCATTTGATCTGTGCACTTGTACCCAAGTAGTAGTTTTTATCATTCAAGATTGTTAATTATCCAGAATCCAAATAACATATTTGTTTCTTGATCTCTTCCTTTCACTCCAAGTGAAATTGCAGCATACTACAATTCTGAGTTTCCATTGAGTAGTAGTTGAATTTACTTTAAAAGCCAGTCATACAGAAACACAATTGTCTTATTCAAATTCCAACACTGAGGTTATATCCCCAGTGATAAATAATTAATAAATTGATTGGTACAGCACTTAATAATTAACTAGATTTCTTCTTTTTAAAAGGATTTATTCATTTTTATTTAAAAGGTAGATTTTGCAGAGAGAAGGAGAGAAACAAAAAGAGATTTTTCCATCTGCTGGTTCACTCCCCAAGTGGCCCTAACAGCCATTGCTGAGCTAATCAGGGGCCAGGAGCCAGCTTCCTGCAGTTTTGTCATGTTGGTTGAGGGCCCCAATGCCTTGAGCCATCTTTCACTGCTTTTCCAGGCCATAAACAGAGGGCTGTAACAGAAGTGGAGCAGCCAGGACATGAAGTGGTATACCCATAGGGAACTAGCTTGCCTAACTTCATGTCTGTGATACTTTTGCCAAAATAAAACTAAACTTGGAGCAGAGAAGAAAAAGGTGCATGCAACATTGGAAGAATTGTAAAATTTCAAAAAAATGATTTTAAAAGTTGTGCCATTACATAGTATAATGGACCTCGTTATTTGTCAGAACTTATTAAAGTATATCTAAAAAATGCAAGAATCATGTCGATTTATTGGTTTGTATAAATAATACTGTCTAGCATATATACTGTAAAGAAACTCATTAGATACAACTACACTTTGTCAGGCTAAAAGGAAAATTTCATTGTTCTGACAGTGACTTTTCACAAAAGTTCTTACTATGTATTTGTTGTTAATCTGAGAATCAGAAAGAGAAGAGAGAAGGCTGTCTTCTGCCAGCTTATTCCTCAAATGTCAACAGTGGCTAGAGCTTGGCAGAGTCTGGGGCCAGCAGCTAGGGATATGATCTCTGTTTCTCAAATGGCTTACCCAAAACCCAGTTACAGAGATAGCTGGTAGCTAGAGCTGATAGTTGAACCCAGGCAATCCAGTGTGGTCCATGGGCACCCTGTCCAACAGACTGAACATCTCTTCCAAAATAAAATTAAATGAATTTTTAAAAAAGGAAACAATGTATAATTGTGCAAGAGTGCTTTGACAAATAAAGCAGTGAACCCAGTGCTTATTAAATGTTCTAACATAATCTTGTTTGTTATTGTTAAAATATTTTTAATGAGATGATTAAAATGTGCCAGCATCCAGTTTATTCCGTTTCTAAGCGTTTAATTCATTAGATGGTTAGTGATTTTTGTTGTTGTAAATAAATATGGTTTTTATGGTGTCTGCTTTTCTTTCCTTATGGACATTCTAATTTATAGCTGTTCCGTTTACCTTATTTATTTATTTTTTCCCCCTTTGGATCTGTGATTGTCCTAGGTAAGAGAAGCTGCCCAAGCCCTTCTTCTAGCAGAACTGAGAAGAATTGAGCAGGCAGGCAGGAAGGAAGCTATCGATGCCTGGGCCCCTTATTTGCCTCAGTACATGGACCACGTCATATCACGTAAGAGTTCTGGTGTTTTTCCATGATGCTTTGTAGGTATGTGACAAAGGTGTGTGTTCTCGAGAGCTGTATGCTCTTGCCTGTCAGCAGAAGTGAATCTTTATCCAGACAGTTCTCAACTTCTGCTCTTCCATTTTTTCTCCAAATTCTGTCCTCTAAAGTTTGGTTTAAAAAAAAATTGAAGTTGTTTAGTATTAACTTATTCACTAGTGAACGGATCTCTTGTAAAATTAATTTCCGATCAAAAAGAATCCTGTCCTGTTGGGTAGTAGCCTCTGTCTGCCCATCACATTGAGGTAGGGGCTGCCAGCTTGCTGGATGCAGATGTGATACTATTCTAGCAAAAATGCAAGGGAGAATCCTTACAAAACAAACATCTGGAGAGTTAAACAGTGTACTTTTGAAAATAAAATTATTAAGGATTTTGATGTTTGGTTTCTCTAAAGACTACAACTTCACTGGTTTGGGAAAATTTGTTGAAATATCTGGTTTTTGTTGTATTTATTTATTATTTGTATTTTTTTTGCAAAGTAAAACCATTGCAATCATGCTGCAGATTTGATGCCTTGAGGAAAAGTTATATAATGCTGTCATGTTTTTGGTCCTTTGAAAAAAGTAAGCTTTATAGTTTCTTCAATTCTTTGTTCCTCTAACAAATTTAGAATTAAAATTTTAGATTAAATTGTATTAATTATAAGATAAATTTGTTTCCACCTTTTTTTTTCATTGGAAAGTGAGATTTACAGAAAGAAGGAGAGACAGAGAGAAAGATCTTCTGTTAGCTCGTTCACTCCCCAAGTGGTCACAACGGCTAGAGCCGAGCTGATCCAAAGCCAGGAACCAGGAGCTTCCTCTGGGTCTCCCACATGGGTACAGGATCCCAAGGCTGTGGGCCATCATCAGCTGCTTTCCCAGGCCACAAGCAGAGAGCTGGGTGGGAACTGGAGCGGCTGGGAATCAGCACCCAAATGGGATATCGGGTGCATGCAGGGGTGAGGACATTAGCCACTAGGCTACCATGTGGGACCCATTTTTTCAGCTTTTTAAAGGTGCAGTTTCAATACGACTTACAAAGAACTATTTAATATGCAAATATGGTCTAGGTTTTAGATAGATTGATTTTAAAAATCCTATTTGCCTATTTGAGGTATTCTTGGTGATAAAATACTCATAATACATATCAAGGTAGAAGTGTAAGATCATGCAAGAAGGAAAATGGAACCAAAATCCAGAATTGATTGTGGCTGTTACCCCTGGCCCAGCTCACCCAGAAGGTTACCAATGATGGCTGAAGTGGATGTTTAATTAGCATATGACTTTAAGCACTTATTAACTTTTTTAGTTTTATCACATAAAAAATGAAGATGATAGTTGGACTTTATAGAGTTAAAATGAATATGGAATAAATTTATATTTGTTGAGTTCATGAAATAATACCTAACCCAGAATAAGCTCCATTTGTATGTTAAATAAATAGGGGTGGGTCAGGTGGCACAGATGGTTAGGCCACTGTTTGGGACACCTGTGTCATCCCATGTGGGACTGTCTGGTTCAAATCCTGTTACTGCTTCTCATTCAGCTTCCTGAGAACGGGTCTGGAAGGCAGAGGGTGTAGGCCCAAGTACCGAGGGCCTTGTCCTGCTGGAGAGCTTGGTGGAGTTCCTGGCTCCTGACCTGGCCGGGCCCAGGCCTAGCTGTTGTAGGCATTTGGGGATTGAGTCAGTCATTGGAAGATCTCTCTGTTTTTCTGTTATAATTATAAAAGTATAAATGTGTAATTTACTTGTAGCCGGATCATCACACATTAAAATTAAAATCCTTATTTGTTGGAATTATAGCGTATTTAATGAGTTCATATTGGTTTTCATTTGCTTATTGCAAATTCCATGTAAGGTATTAGGATCTTTAAAATATGTATAGGAAAAAAAGAAAATAAATATGTATAGTATTAAAAAAAGTTTCTATCATTTAAAAAAAATGTGAGCAAGTAATATTGGGTTGAAAGAAGCTCTGCTTTTGAGTGTGCTCGTGAGCAGTCTGAAACAATATTATTTGTGCATAACTAGTGAGCACTGACTTTATGATATTACAAAAAATATTCAGGTACTAACAAACCTTAGTAAATAAAGATTCCCAAAGTTTTTGGGGGACTGTCATGATAGTATTATAGAATAGTTTGAAGGTGAAACCAGATAATAGTAAATTGATAGAGATTCTCTTAACAGGAGAAAACTATCGTGAAAATGTTGAGAAACATTTAATTAGAATGAACTAGTGTGGTAAAATGGGGGAATCAACTTAAGTAGAATACGTAGTCAGAAGGCTGTTATAGAAACAAAGATAGGACCCAGATTTAAATGTAAACAAGGCAGAATAAAAAGAATTTCTAAGTTTGGGTGACTGCTGGCATATAAAGGTCTAAGAAAAAGATCAACATTGAATGTGGTGTTGCATTCTTGACAGTCCAGAAGGGAGGTACCATTGTGTGGTTGCCATTTGTATTCTGGAAAGCGTACAATGACTCAGCCACAGGGGAAAGCTTACTGTTGCCACAAATATCTCTCCGAAGCAGTGGAAGTGCATATGTAGTTAGGCAGGGTGTCTGTTAGTTGGGTCCAGAAAGGATTAAAGATAAGTGAAATAATATAATGATAATACCCTCTCATTAATTGGACACCTTCTCTTACCGCAGACCATTGCTTCCTCATTAATTGGACACCTTCTCTTACCGCAGACCATTGCTTCCTGTTTGATCTGTATTGTTTCATGTAACAATTGAACAGTGATCCTGTAAAATAGAGACTCTTGTTCCCATCCCCATGTCTCTTCCCCAACACCTTTTTTTTTCTTTAATGACTTAACTGAAACTAGGAGAGATTAAAGAACTTCCTGAGGGTGCCTGAGTCACTTAGTGACGGTTGGAGTCTGAAGCTCAGGCTTTTAACCACTATTTATTCTTTCCAGTTTGCTGCCAGCAGGCTTAGTTCCTTAATGAGAGTGGAGTTGGAAGAATGAGGAAAGATATTGGGTTTAACTTTCACTTTCAGACAGTGTCCCTACCAACCATATGTCTAATAACAGCCAGAAAATGGAGCAGAAATATTACTGCTGAAGTTAGACAACTGTTTTCTTATGATTTCCATAATTTCAATAAGTATAAACTAGATATTCTTAGGTCAAATTTAAATCTGTCCAGTTATGTAATTAAGTCTTTTGTATTTACAGGACTCTGCAGTGCTTTATAAATTGACGATTGCCCTGCTTAAAATTTTTAATCTCGTCATTTATCATACTTTATTTTCACAAACAAAAAAAAAACTGGCATTCATTCTTCACATAACTAAAAATTTACACACTAACAGCTCTTGGTATACCGCGCTAATGTATTCTGGAAGTCTTATATTGACTGAGTGTAAAATTAGTTTTAGTTTGCTTTCCTGGGAGCTTTCTATTTTAATAAAAGGATGTCAAGCTAAAGGAGTGGGGATTCTGAACGTATGAAAGGAGAAGAAAGCATACAACAAATGAGGAATGACCACATAGGGCTCTTGAACAGATTTGCTGTCCGAAAGGATCAAAAGGTTATGGAGCCAGCTGGTGGACAGCCCACACCTGCCCTTCCACGTAGCTGTAGTGAAATCGCCTCTCCCTTTGTCATGAATGCTTGACGATGTAAAAGTTACATCAGGAAATGTTCATAGAAACTTAAGTCTATTTCCATAGTATAGGAATGGGCTTAAACACGAAAGTAGGCAAAATATTAAAGTGTGTCTGGTAAATACACCAGTCATTGGACTTTACTCATTCTAAGCACTTAGGGATATTCCTAAACAACATGGGCTATTCTTTTGTCAGAAAGCCCCTGAGCTGGCAGACTACGGGAGCCCTTCAGCTTAGAGATGAGGATGCAAAGTTTTAAAGTGGATACTAGCTTTCTCTGAGTTCACAGGAGATGATTGGGTTGGGTTAAAGCTGACAACAAGTCAGCTGGTCTGATTGACTGGGGTGTTTTATTTAAGTGTGTTGTATAAAAAACAGCCTTTTGCAAGTTTGAAAATATAAAAGAGAGCAGTGGACCTGATCCAGTTGTTCCTCTGTGGACTATTGAGGACAGTAAATGAGAAACTTCTTATAAAGTATCCAGCCCAGTGCCTAATAGACATAGTGAGTGTGGGCTGGCAATTGCCTTTTCTTTCCTAACCTGGTTTCTATAGTTCTGTTCTCCTTATTGCTGTCACCTCACAATTTACTTTAATTTGTATTGCCCAGAAATTCTGACAGTAGACTAAGGTCACTGGGGAAGGAATAGAAGCCGTAGCCTTAACTGAAAAACCAGCTGACAGCTTTTCCTAGAGCCCAATCCTGACTGAGCTGTAAGAGAATTGTGTGTTAGGTAATGGAGGACTACTACTAAAGCATTTAGGAAACAATATTTTATCCTTCATTCATTTTGTGAGTATGCCAGGATTTGATACCAAATTGCTGATGAGAAAATTTGAAGAAACACATACTGTGTGCTTTGGAATACTGACATATGAATATTGTAAATCTTTTCTGAATCTTCAGTCTGTACCTTTTATATGTAGCCACACTTGGGTTTGAAAAAATCTGAAAAATTCTGTGCAGGATTCTCACTGTATAAGGATTCATGTTATTTGTGAATCTGTTGTGTTGCAATGCAATGAAGATAAATCCTCAGAGTTTATTTCGAATTGAAAATGTTTTGCAGAGCCCTGTTGGATATATTATTTGCGAGATGCTACCTGTAGCATTTGGATAATTGACTTTTTTATGAGGTCAAGCGCCTGCTAGTTTATGAAATACACCCACAATTGCCCTTCACTACACTCAGTGACTTCTCTAATGCTGCCTGTTCCTATCTCCTTTGCCCTGCGATGCAGAGTGACCTTCCGGGGCCTGAGGTCAGCAGTGTAATTATTTCTCGTACATTGTATCCTGCTTGCTTATGGCGGCTCATCTCCTCTTTTAGTTTCAGAGAT